AGACGGGCTCCTTTTTCGAAGATTCCTGGCAGCATCGCCGTCGGCAAGCCTCCCTGCTTATGGCCGCATCATGCGAGCTGAGTGGATCGCCCTTCTGCGCAGTGCTTCTGCTCTCACAGGCGTTGCAGCGTTGCAGAGCTTTCGGTTGTTCGATAAAGAGAGCCATTCGAGTGAATTCTGAGTCGAACCGCCGTCGTCTACCGTCGTCTCATCAGCTGGTTCCCATGCGCATGCCGCACTCCGCGGCAGTCGCAAGTGAGGATCATCTTTTGCTGCTGCTGATGGCTGGGTGGACACAGGCTGGGGGGGCGAGGGAGGTGGGCGAGATGGCCCATAGTATACTGAGATGCAGGAGCGCATCCCCTACGTCACGGTCAGAGAAGCCTGGCGAATGCACTCACTGAGGGTATGGAATGCAGTGCATTAGTCATGGCTGGCTGTTGTGTTGTCTTCATTGTGCAGTCGTGCACCGACTTCTGGGCGATGCTCGACGCCAAGGGCTTCAGATACGTCAGCGACGCCGACAGCGGCGGGTGAGATAGAATGCACTCGTCCATTCACCCCACCCTGGAGTGCGATGCGCACTGGTTGGATTGTGTCTGTCTGGGTGTTTTCTGTCTGCAGCAATGGGTACATCATCAAGGTGGAGAGTACGTAGCTGCCGGGGTCGCAATCCGCCTTCGAACAACAACCAGAAGGCGTGTGAGACCCGAACGAGAAAACACGTTCAAGCGCCGCGTCGTTTTGGCCCGCAGGACCGTGCGAATTCACGATAAAGAAACTGCCACGATGATATCAGAGGTTAGTGGCAGACAGACGAGTCAGTGGCAGACAGACGAGGCTCACGCTCTTCCGTATGCGTGTCCATTGTTGGGTTGTGGTTGTTGGTTGTTGATTGACAGGCTACCACTTGGCGAAAGGTGTCGACACTTGTATCAATGAGAAGGTGTGCCCCAACAACAAGCGGCTGCTGCGTCGGCGGTGTGCCGCTTTTGAGAGGGGATCCCCGTCGACTTCAACGCATACATCCCGCCCGGCCTCGTGTCTGACGCAGACGATCAAGACGAATGACGACAACGACGCGCCCAAGAAGGGGCCGAGAGGAGCGGACACAATACATACAAACTATCAACCTCACACGCGCATCTGTGTGTGTGTGTGTGTGTGTGTGACCCATCCATCCATCACTTACGAGACGGCCCAATGCAGCGAGGCCGACTTCGTGCGCAAGTACAAGTCAGCGCTGCTGAAGCTGCCGGCCTCGCCCCACCTGTGATCGACGGGGGACGTCTACCGCGACCAGGAGCACTATTACGTTCTCATAGAGTGGTTTGCATTTCAACATTCGTCATGGCTGGCTGTTGTGCTGTGTTCGTTGCGCAGTCATACACCGACTTCTGGGCGATGCTCGACGACATGGGCTTCCGATACGTTAGCGACGCCGACAGCGGCGGGTAAGTATGGGGCATTCAGTCAGTGAGTGCGCAGGAACGAACACATCGGGTGTGTGTTGCGGTGGGTGTGGTATGCAGCAATGGGTACATTATCAAGGCCGAGACATGTGTCTCCCTCAGACACAGGCGCGGACCCAAGGAGCATCGACACAGGGAGAAGAAGGCGCACCACAAGAAAAGAAGAACACACACGCGCTCATGCCTGTCCTCAATATGTGTCTCCCTCAGAAACAGGCGCGGACCCAAGGAGAATCGACGGCCGCGCCCATTGAGAACATTCGTCAGTCAGCACACTTCACGACACACACTATCACACACACGCAGTACAACGACACTCATAGCTATGACACACACGTGTGTGTGTGTGTGTGACCCACCTATCAGGTATGAGACGGCGCCGCAGTGCGGCGAGGCCGAGTTCGTGCGCAAGTACATAGCGATGGTCCACCTGCCGCTGTCACGGCACCTCTGCTGCACAGCCGGCATCTACCGCGACGAGGAGGCGTACTACATCCAGATGTCGTAAGTGGAGGCCCGCCACATCGCGGAAGGCGCGTTGATGGGCCTCAAAGTGCTGCACGAGCACAGCGTACGCACACACGGCTACACGCAGACACAGCCACATATGACCCCAGCCAGCGTATTGCTTGCGTGCCCCATCTGTGTGTGCAGATCACCCACGCCGACGTGTCGCTGCGCAACAACATGACGGCGGGAGAGGATCGGGTCATGCTGGTGGACTTCGACACGGCCCTCACGCCCACCTGCAGCCGGCCGAGTCGAATCATCGAAACGGCCAAGTACCTGGTAAGCACACTCGGCATGACGCACTCATCCGTCCATCCTCCCACTTGATCGTCTGTCTGTCTGCAGGCGCCCGAATGCTTCACGAGTTTCGAGTACAGCCCGGCCAGCGACATGTGGGCCGTGGGCGTGTGCATGTGAGCCACGTCACACACACAGCACAGAGAGGGATACTGGCTCCATCCATCCAGCTGTCAATGTAATATGCTCTGGTTGCTGTGTGTGCCATCCCATGCCTGTGTGGATGGGATGGAATCCGATGTGTGGTTGGATATCGCTATTGATCAGATATCGCATGGTTACCGGCCCGCTTTCCCTTCGACCCTCGCGACGATGGGGTCATGACTGAGGACTCGTGGGAGGCCATCAAGCAGGTGAGTGAGTGAGTGAGTCCGTCGAAGGGGGAGGGACAGCACAAACCAGACCGACCATGGACTTACTTGTCAGTCAATGTGGCGCGTGGTGTCGTTCTCATGCAGGGCGTCCGATTCAGCCGTGAGGATAACCTCTCGGAGGCGGCCAAGTACTCGAGGCGGCCGGTGGGATCGCTGCCTACATTTTATATTCCGCCGTCTTTTAAATGATGTCTCCGTGCCAGTTGGCGGCCGCAGAGGGTCGGTCTTTCGAGCGGGTGTGTACGTGGCTTGAGTGAGTGGAGAGCCAGATGGACAGATGGACAGATGGACAGATGGATGGATGGACGGGGTGTCGGCGCGAGGTGGCGCCGGCCCACTGGGGAGACAAAAAGGGGGGCAGACAGAAGGGAGGAGTGAGGTTTCGTGTGTCGTGAAACGGACTTTCTCGACTTTTTCGACTTTTTCCCTCAGCTCGCACTCCACCCCGTAAGGTGTGGGTCGGTCCTCTCCCGCACCCGGGTATATATATCTTTTTCCTTACGTATACTGAGGAGGTTACGGGGATGTTCTACGGCAGGCCCTGCCAGTGGGTGCATCACAACAGAAGAACATTCGACCATCGGGGCCACCGAGGGCGCGGTCGAGCCAGAGGGAGAGGGAGGGGAGAGGGCCACTGTGGTCAGTGGCTCCCCAAGCGCGAGGCCACCGTTCCCGCCCCCCACCATCCCCAGCCGCAAGAGGGGATTCTGGACATTCCCCCGTCTGACGTGAGCGACCTCTCGCCCAGCCTGGTCCAGAAGGGACTTGGTGAGCAGCCATTCACACACAGACAAAGAGAGGCAACAGCCTCGCAGTCTCACTGTATGTTTCTCTTCTATTACCCTTCCCAGTTAAGAACACCTTCATCTCCTTCCAGGACAGCAGTGCCATCGTGGCCCGTGACGTGTCCGGCGCTGCTCGGCGAGCTCTCTCTGATCAGACCGACAGCCCTTCCGCGGTGCCGCCCGGCTTCGAGGCCCTCAGCCCCAACCGCTACGTCAACAGCGGGCAGTCACACGCCGGGGCAGACGACGAATCAACTCCTGAGTGGTTCACCCCACCAAAACGGAACCACCAGGGTCCCTACAGCTTCTCTGGTGTGGGCCTCGACGGCTCACTGCGGCGGTCGAGCTCGCTGTGTGAGATTGGCCAGGCCCCCCCGGTGTCCATTCTGCGGTTCAACTCACAGCCTCTGGAGGTTGATGCAGCGGCGCGGGCGGCTGATGAGCCTTTTGAGGGGCTTGGGGATGGAAGAGGGGGGCCGGTGGGGGAGGAGACACGGTATCGTGTGCGCGTGAGTTTTGACGATGGGTCGGTGGAGCGTGCGGTGGCCGACATTGGTGTGTTTGTGGATCGCAGCCGGAGCAAGAGCATGAACATGGCCGACCCTCGGGCCGACCAGGCGGCCCCGGGATATCGCAGTGCCTCGATCAACGACGGAGTGAGACAGACAGACAGACAGACAGACGGACAGACGGACGGACGGACGGACGGACGGACAGACACACGCAGCATGCAGAACCACCCACCTGTTTGTGTCTCTGTGGCAATGACTCGTTCAGGACACCTCTCTCTCGTCGATTCGCATGGAGAACCGCCGGGCCAGCCAGATCCACTCTCTGCTCTACAAACCCACCCCAGCAACCCCCTCCCCGTCCACAAGCCGCGCGCCCACACCTGACAGGCCAGAAGGCGCCAACGAAGTAGAAACACAGGCCCAGCCACGGAGATCCATCCACTTCCCCCCCACCTCCCCGGCCAACTACTCGCCATTCCGCCACTTTCTGGCGGTGCCGGGGATGGAGCCGATGTATCAGGGGAGGTCGCGCGCCGACACGCCCGAGCAGGGCGTCGAGAGAGCGAGTTGCGTGGCTTCTGACGGGTTTGATGCGACCGAATCGTCCGCGTGGCGCGATGAAGACAGCATGGTGAGTGGACAGTTTGGCGGTGCGAGATCGTCTGTCTTTTCGATGCTGGGGACGTCGTCGATGCTGCGTGAGTGCTTCGACTTGCCGCGGATGAGCGTCGAGGCCAGCCCTGGGCCCTCGCCACCATCCCGACGGTCACAGGCGCAGAATGCCCTCACTGCGGAGAACTACACGCCCTGGAGGCAGCCCGCTCCGCCCATTCCCGAGACCAGTCAGCTATTCCCCTCTCCCTATGGACCAATCGTCCCGCCGCCCCCTATGGCACCGCCCAACCCCCTCACTGCCCCACCGGCTTCCTCTTCGCTCCTCGCTGCACCGAAGCAGCAGCCATCGGTGGCCCCGCCACAGCAGCAACAGCAGCATTCTATGCCGATCATCCTGCAGCCGCCGATTCGCACGCAGCCACAGATACTGCCGGTGCCGCAGGAGCGAGTGCGGACCGGCCGGGCCCCTCTCCGGTCCGCCCCGCATGTCCGTCAGGACGAGGTGTACCGCAAAAACCCGGCGGTGGCCCACAGCTTCTCGGCCAACAACTTGTGGCACGACTCGGACGAGCGTGTGCATCCGCAGCAGGTGGGCAGGGGGGTGTTTGGGGCGGTCGGGGAGCCGACTAGGGGGGGAGGTTTGGTGAGGGGGTGGGGCCCCCCTGCGATGCGCGGCGGCATGAGGAGTGTGTCGATGAACCTGCCGCCCGAGTGGGATTTCGACGCTGACGAGATGGAAATGGGCGAAAGGAGGTGAGAGGACGACATTGTTGTGAGACACGCTTGGATGGCCCCCTCTCTGTGTCTCTCTTGGGCCATGCCTCTTGATTGCTGCAGCTTGGGCAGCGTTGACCATCCACGCGGCTGTCGGCCGTGCATGTTTTATTGGAGCCCCAAGGGTTGCATGAACGGCCTCGAGTGCCCCTACTGCCACATGTACCACCCGAACAAGAAACGAAAACCAGTCAAGGTGCGGGCGGTAGGCCGATGCGGTCACAGTGACATGACTGACACCCTGATGGATGGATGGATCGATGTCTGTCTATGTATGTGTGTGTGTGTGTGTGTGCAGGAGCAGAGGAACCTGATGATAATTGCGCGGCCGGACGGGAAGGTCGAGTACATCCGTTGCTCACTCGAAGAGGCACTGAGGACCTGAGGGATCGATCGTTAGATGGATGGGGGCGGGGGGAATGGGATGATGGGGAATGGATGAGGTTGAAAACAAACAAGCACACCACACCACACTATTTGTCTGCTCTGCATGTGTCGTCACTCACTGCGCTCACTGGGGACTGTCGTGTCTGCTGCTGCTGCCTGTGTTGGGCTGGGCACATGACATGGGTATTGGTACACCCGTGAGCTGCTGACTTCTTATCATTGCTCATTAGAGTGCTCATCATGGGCAGGGGGGGTGGCTGCGTGCGCGTGGCCGGCCGTGAAGTTGTCATAGACACGCTGAGGGAGACAGACAGCTGGAAGTTTTCCGTGACTGTCCTAGTGGATGTGATGGGTTGTCGACACACTCACTCACTCTCTCTATCGCCGATAAACACATTTACCGCCATTTCAAGTAGAGTCACACCAAGGGTCCATGACGAATCGCACACACACACGGGCGCACACACGCACACGTGACGGAGCAGAGCATAAACATGATTGAAATCATGTGTGTCACACAGACCAGCAACCCAGACGGACAGACAACACTATAGGCACCATCCCTTGCTCTCCTTCTCCCCGTCGAGGGGAGAGCGTCTTGGTTGAAGTTGAATCGCCGCAGCGCAATGCGTTATCAGACGGGATAATCAGCAGTTGCCGACTCGGTCGTATTCAGATCGATGTCCTCACCCGTCATCAGCAGATGGGTCGCTCCCTCTGTTGATAACGTCCTCCTCCAAGCTGAATCGCCTCAGTACACGGCGCCACAACGGCATCGACACGGGGAAGCGCTCATCGAGGGAGGCAGACACACCGGCAGCAAGCGACTCGGTCGTCCACAGCCCGAGCCCCCTCTGTCCACCCGCATAAAGGCTGCGACGGTATCGGTGGGCCGAAAGCCGCTCACAATCACATAACGACGGTCAATCGGATCGGCCGTACTGAGGTTCCCGCGGTCAAAGCGGTTGTCAGCCGTGTAGCCCAGCTGCTCAGGGATGTCGCCGGCTGTCAGCAGCCTCTGAAAGCCGGGGTTGCTACGGTCCTTGTGGACCCACAGCACCGCCTTGAAGACCACTCTGACCACCCCCGCTTCATAAGGCCACCACCACATCAGAGGCCTCATGGTGAGGAATGCCGTGAAGGATGGAAATAGATCGCGACCCCAGCGGACGACGGGGTCGCTCTCGTTGTATGTGCTGCGGTAGGGATGGTCGGCGGGCAGGTCGCCGAACGGCACCACACGAAACGACCTATCGCCGATCCGATACTCTCCGTTGGCGGCCCGCCGCAGCGCCAGGCGCTGTCCTCTGAGTGTCAGTTGATGTCCGATCAGCCGATAGATGGCCATGGCAAGTGGCACCGAATCAAAGGCCGACTTGCTGTGCAGCTGAGCTACCGACAGCGCCAATGGCAGCCCATTGGGGGTCAGCCGATAGATGGCCGCCAGCCGGACAACCATGCCCATCAGACGCCACTCACTGCCGCCCTGCTCCAGCACATAAAGGCATCGCACCAAGTAGCCGAAGTGTGTCAGCCGTCGGCCGGTAAGCCGCCTTGCGCATGCCAGCAGTGAGTGACGGACGACGGCAACAAAGCCACTAGGCTGATCGATATCGCCAGCAACAGCAGAGGCGTTGCGGTTGACATCAACAGTGCCACTCAGTTCGTGGCGGGCGAGGTATGTGTCGATGCGCTGCAGCAGCAGGCCACCCGTGATCAGAGCCGCCTTGGCACTGCTGGTCGCTCGCAGGGCAATGACGTCACAGACGACAAGGGAGGGCAGAATCTGCTCACGCCAGAGCTCCTCAGGCACCAGGTCACACATCACAATGGCAGCAGTTGGTTGTGCACGGCAGAGGCACCAAGCAGAGTCTGAAACACACAGCCAACACACATCACATCACCACGTCATGACGCATCAATCCTCTGGGCGCTTCTCGTGTTCGAACTCACCGTGAGCCACTCACTTCGGTTTTCGCGCTCCTTTTTTCTTTCGGCTGGATGCCTGTGGTCGGTTGGAGCGAGCCTCTCAACCACCCCAGGGAGCCCGGAGCCAGGCTTCCCAACCAGAGCGAGCCGAGAAGATCTACGATGTCTGCAATGCGATCGCGAATGCGAGCTTGGCGCCAGAAGCAGGAGTGTGTGAAGTGCTTTCTGAAGGCTGAAGCGCCCGGTCCCTTCCGTCACCGCCGCGTGCAGACTGCGTGGTGTCTTCGTGAATCAGTGAGATCTGTGTGCGCTTGGCAGTGACAATATCGCCTTGAAGCAAAACCGTCCGGTGGTGAGGCACACGAACGGCTGCATGTGCTACAAATGCTCGGCTGACTCTCACCGTGTGTGTCACCATTCATGTCTCCGTCAGAAATGTCCTCCTCCAGTGAGTCTGTTGGAGGTGATGCAAAGCGCCAGCAAACCGACAGCCATCCCGCTGATGCGGCCGGTGAGACCTCACAAGCACAGCTGACAGCCTGACTGACAGACACATCCGTGTGCATTGTATGTGTTTGCACAGGCATCAGTGGGATGAGTGATGCTGCAGCTCACCACCACGAGCAGCACCAGCAGGGGCACAGTCAAGCAGCATCGGTGAGGCAAATGCATTGCGCCACTGTGTGAATCACTGAGTATCACTGAGTGTGCCTTTGGTCGTTCTCTGTGCAGGCGTCCCCCCCTGTGTGTGTTGGGTCGGGTGATGTGTGTGGTCGGCTGGCGGCCATACACTCACTCATTCAACAGGTGGATGACACACAGACATCGACCCACTGAGGGATGCAGCCGTGGTCTGTCTGCTCTGTGTGTGTGTGTGTGTCAGGTGACCACTGAGGTGTCGGACGTCGACCCGTTGATAATGACGTCCATTACCGACGACCAGGTGAGTCACACAGACACAGTCAGGGGGGCGGCTCAACACATCCCGCCTTGTCTGTCGTCTGTATGATGGCTTCAGGCGTTCGTCATTGCCCATGAGTGGTCATCCGTCAAGTCGAGCGTGTCGACCCTCTCGGCTGCCGTAGACACCATCACCCACCACATCTTTCCCGACCCGCCCCATCCCCCATCTCAGCCAGACACCACAGCTGCTGCTGATGGTGATGATGCCGTGGACGTGACGGCCAATCGGCTGCCGGACGACTTGTATAGCGATGGTGTCGTGGGCTACCTCCCTGTCGACGTGGCCATTAGCCCGGCGCGGGCAACGAACACCCACTACGGCACACAACTCATCAACGAGGCCTTCATGCTCAGACGCATCGACGGCTCCCTCGACGGCAACCACCTCACCGGCCTCGTCGACGTGCATCGGCCGACATTTCAGTACTACAGCAAATGCGCCTATGTGTTCGAGCAAGGACGGAAGGTTTGGCAGCAGATGGCCGACTTCATTCGTCTGGCAGCCATTCACAAGCTCACGGAGGCACTCCCGCTGCGGCTGTCGATTGACTGGATGGCCGAGCAGCTTGCCAGGAAGAGGGACTTCCAACAGAAGACGGGCTTCCCACAGATGCCACTCGGTTTGGCCATCTACAGCACATTCGGACACATGCTCAACTACCGAGGGATCAGCCTGCAGCTGCAGCGAGTGAGGGATTTCGATGACAGCGAGAACAGGAACTCTGACTACCGCGATTTTATTTACGATGATGATCTCATGTACGCCCAGCAGCAGGCTCTGCGTCACGAGGGACCTGACGGTTCAGAGGACGGGGTGGACGGGCAAGAGGAGCCTCAGGATGAAGACGACGAGGACGACGACAGCACCAGTGATGACAACAACAAGGGCACGGCCGAGCATGAGGAGGGATCTGACGAGGAGAAATCAGTTGGGAGCGAAGCAGAGGGGCAGCAGGGCACCCCAGAGGATGCCGAGAGAGAGGCTTCGGACAGCGGGCAGGTTGCGGGGGACGGCGAAGGGCAGCCCGACGATGGTCTTGGTGTTGGTTTGAGGCGACAGCGCAGTGGAGTGGGAGGCGATGACTGGGACAGCGATGAGAGCGACAACGAGTGGGACATTGACAGCGACAGTGATAGTGGAGGAGATATCGTCTTGGAGCCGCAGCAGCGGTACAGAATCTGCAATGTCGATTTCACCCCCGTCCGCCCGTAGGAGCTGCCGATCGTCTACCCCTATCGTCGAACATACAGCGCCGCCGATCCGCCCATCCGCTCTGGTGGCACTCTCTATCGGTCATTCACTTCATTCCTCAAGGCAATGGCTCTGACAGAGTGGTGTCGTCAACATAGGGTCGAGAGGAAGCTGGTGGGTGTTTGTCGTCTCTCTTGTGACGACCCCCGGTATATGCGTCTGCTGACGGAACTCATCGACGGCTTCAAGATTATCGACTATTTTGATGAGTATCCGTTCGGCGAGAGAGATGACGGTCGCCAGCGAATCATCATCCTCAAGGGCACCGGGCAGGCCGACACTATTGCTGCCTACCTGGAGGTGGCAAATGACCAACATGATGGCCGCATCCAGCTTTACTCAAATGAGGCACCAGAACGCAGCAGGAATTTCGACGGATTGAATTTCCCCATCGGTACTGCTGCCGCTCGCCCTCTGCTAGCCAGATATGGGCTGGAGAGGGCAATGTTCCCACAGACAAGGCGGTAATCGTGAAAGGGATGCTTCATGAAAGGGAATGCTTCATGCAGCCGTTTTCTGCTTTGTGGTGTGCGCAAGTGGTGATTTCTGGCTCAGGCTGGTTGCTGTCTTGTTGAGTGAGCGGGTGACGCTGTGGGTGGGTGGCTTTGGTGTGGACATTTTTCTCGTGTTGGTTGGGTGCCTTTTTCCCTCATGCAAGTCGATGCGTGTATGCCCAGACACATCAGTATATCGAGTCAGATATGTAGGACTCTACCAATAGAATACAACGAATGTCTCTACCAGACGCAAGCCCTGCCAGCATCGCTCGCTGACGGCCGAAGATGCGCAAACACGTGCACCATTCCTACTCTCTATCTACACGAACGCATAATTCATGGCACGCCCCATGGCAAAAAAAGCAAACCCAAAAAACGGCACTCATTCATCAAGCAGCCACCTCAGGCTGCGGCCGCTCCCTCAACGACACTCCATCACCCAGTCAGGACTCGAAACGACACCCACAAGTGACGATCTTGCCTCTGTCAGCCACCCACTTGATACCTCTAACGGCGCTTGTCTCCTCTGTCGATAAACCATGGTCAGGGGACGATCCACCAGCAGCCCCGCCCGGCGGCACTCGCGATGTCTGGCTCGGCACCGGCTTGATTGGGGAGGCACTGCTGGTGGCATGTGCTGGTGGGGACACGCTTGGATTGCGTGGAGAGGCTGTGGCAGGAGGTGGTGGAGAGGCCTCCGGTGCTGGTGCTGATGCATCAGTGTCGACTGAGTCCTCCTCTGGCTGTGTCCGTTGCTGATCGCCAAAGAGTGTCCGCCAGAGCCAGCCTGCGTGCGAAGGCAACAAGAACCGGGTGAGTTTTTAAACAAAGGCAGATGTGTCTATCTTTGCCCTCACTTCTGCTCTGCCTGTATACGGGCAGCTCTGGCCTGACGTGGTCGACGTTGGGGAAGACGGCCCCCATCAGCCGGTCATTTTCACTCTGGAGCACGCTGATCTGCTCCTGCACAACACAACACAACACAACACATCCCAAAGCACCACTCAAGCACTGCACGAAGTATCATTGTGATGTGCTTCATGTGAGTGCCGTGGCGGCCGGACCTGCAGGTTGCCGAGTTTGGTCTGTAGTTTCCTCTCCTTGTCGGCCTCTTTGGCCGCTGACCTCCGGTACTCCCACAACACAGCACCACCGACAATGGAAAAAACGACAATCTCACTGAGGGAGGGGCAGAGAATCAAAGAATGAGAGCTCTCTCTGTGCATGTCTGCTGTTCTCATCTTTCCCACCCACCCACCCTCGGACTCACCCGAGCATGTCGGTGCCGACCTCAATGGCCTTCGCCTCATTGAGAGGCCGGATGTAAGTCGCCGTCAGCTTCTGGTCGTAGAATGACCTAAGTGAACACACAATCATCCCAATGCATTGTTGATAAATCGCCATTCAGTCACAGCCATGATGTGGTTGTACCTGAGCACCCACTGCTCGCCCCTGTGGTAGGTCTGTGCAAAGGCGATGCAAGCGTTGCGGAACCAGGCGTTGTTGACTGCCCGCTGCTGCATGTACTTGGCCCTGTGCAGTGCAGTCACCCACACAAACCAACCAACCAAGAGAGCATTGTTCATCCCAGTGATGCATCGGTGGCGTGGCTGTTTGTTGTCAGGTTGCTCACATGGGTTTTGACACTTGCTTGACGAGCACACTCATCAGCTTGACGACGGGAAACGCCATGATCTTGCCTCACCCACCAGATCTCGCCCAGATCTCTTCACACGTCTGTCATACAGCTGTTTTGCTTCCTTTTCCAAGCGCATTGGTAAGGTTTCGCCTTTTCAAGCTCGCCAAGCTCGCAACGGATCTGCGCTGACCAAGAGGGACGAAGAGAGTCGCCTCGCTCCTCAGTGACCGGCATCTGCAGTTGATGGCATCGCCGTTGCTTCGCACTCTTCTCTTTTTGTCTTGTGCTTTTGCTGCTCTCGTGGATGCCATCTACTTATCGGATGCCGACAGCCAACTGGCGGCCTTCCCCGGCGCCACACCACGACGCAGACCCAGACGACCAAGGCGCCCGCTGTCAAGACCCAGATCAAGACACACCGCCGCCAGAACATCTGCCAGGGAGACCACAGCCGACACTGTCACAGCAGATGCCCGGAAGGAGACCCCCGCTGCTGCATCAGCGTCATCGGCATCACGATCAGCGGCGGATCTTGTGCGTAACATCTCACGGCTCGAGCAGCTGGGCAAGGGCGCGGTGAGTGCCATAGTGGAGTGGAGTGACGGCTCCTCCAAGTGGAAGCACAAGGGCCGACTGCGCGGGGTGCAGATCAGCCGTTTGGACTTTGACGACCCGGACGAGCCGTGTGTGGTCAAGGGCGTCATGTCGTTCGGCCCGCAGTACTCGCCGCAGGAGATCATCGATTTTGTAAATGACTTCAACCACAAGAAGTCCTACGACAGCATGTTTGAGAGGGGAGAGGTCATCCGCGAGTACTCTGACAGAATGGCGATTTTCTGGCAGAAGTTCAAGTAAGGAAGGCGCTGACCGACGGACAGACAACCCGGTGTGGGGGACTGTCTGATCTGATTGGGGCATGTTGTCTTGTGTTGTGTTGTGTTGTGTTTTGTTGTGTTGTGTTGTGTTGTGTTGTGTTGTGTGTGTGGGTATGTGCAGGCGTCAATGGGGTGCCTCAGCCAGGGATTTCTTCCATCTGACGTACAAGGACGTTTCTTCCAGCGGGGACAGGTGTGTCCTCGTTGCAACCTCCTTACCCGCATCGGTGAGAGGCGCCAAGGCAACGCAAGGGCCGATCGGTCAGCTGCCTCCTGTGTGCTGTGCCCCTGTGTGGTGTGTTGTGCTGTGTGGTGTGGACATGCAGGGTCTGATGGACCGGTTCGTGCGGCGGAGGGACACTGTCAGAGGGTACATCTTCGCCGCAGGCGTCGACGCACGGTGAGCGAGACCGACAGACATGCACACACGGTGCATCCCTTGGTGGCATCATTGCTGTGTTGTGAGTGCAGTCGTTTGTCCAATGGCGATGTGCGTGTGGCGTGGGTCGGCAAGGTGGACATCTGCGGCACGGTGCCCAGGTGGATCGTCAAGCAGGTCCAGACACTACAACCCGCCACTCTACACAGGTGCGTGCGTGTGGTGTGCCCACAGCAGCGACCGTACATACACCACTCTCTCCGTGTTTGTGTCCGTGGTTGTGTTGTTTTGTTCAGAGTGAAGGAGGAGATGGACCGCGCTTACGCCACCAGCCGCAGAGATGACACCGAGCGACGGACAGAAGACCCCAAACACAGGCGCCTGGAGCGACTGAGGCGCCTGGAGCGACTGGCTGTCTAGACGAGGCAGGCAGACCATGCCATGCATAAGGCAGAGTGAATGAAGGGATCGATGGCGCATCGCATCACCACACGTACGTGTAGATAGCTACATGAACTGAACGAGGCAGGCAGGCAGGCAGCTGATCGATGCGATCGTTTTGTGTTTTGGTTTTTCGCTTGTCTTGTCTTGTCTACCCATCGGTCTTGTCTACCCATCGGTTTGGTTTATCGGTTGGAGTATAGGGCGGGGCGGGGCGGGAGGGGCTGGCGAACGATGACAGACAGACAGGCAGGCACGCAGCCGATGCATGCATGTGCAGATACACATGCGATTGACCAACGGACGGGGAGGGAGGGAGGGGGAGGGATGGAAGGGGCGGTTTTGTACTGGCTGGCTGGCTGGGCGGGCGGGTGGGTATTGCTTGATTGTGGGTAATTGCCTGCCTGCCTGTGTGTCTGTCTGCCTGCTAGCTCGGAGTGGCAGTGGCTGTTTGGTTGTATCACTAGCGAGGGCATTGGACAGTCGTTGTGTGCATGGGGAGAGACGGGAAGGGACCTGGGCTGAGTGAATCGCTATCATACCATGGTCGTGTTGTTCATAGAGCAGCAGCCAGACGAAAAGATTGAACAAAAGCAATTCAACGCACCGACACACCGGCACGGCACGACATGCACAGGGACGTTTCTCTCTACCCATGCACTCGTCCATCCAGCCATCCATCCATCCATCCATGCGTCACACGCTCCATTCAGACACGGACAAAAAGCAGGCCGCCCCCGCACCGCACCAGCCTAATGCACCATCTAGCTATTCAGTCAGCTCGCTATCCTCTACACTGTCGCCTCTGACTCACCTGTGTTCTGTTCACCTCTTGGTTTTCTTCTTGCCGGCCTCCTTCCTCACCCCCGCCGCACGGCCAGCGCCCCTAGTACCCTTCCCAGCACCCCTGCCGCCCTTCACACCTGCACCCGCCTCATCCTCCTCCTGATCTTCCTCCTCCTTCTGATCTTCGCCCTCATCGTCTTCATCATCGACCATGTCGTCATGGACTGCGGCCGCCGCTGCTGCCGCTGCTGCCTTGCCCCTGGCCTTGCGGGCGGGGCCCTTGCGCCTCTCGGCACTATCCGCCGACGCCTTCTGCTGCAGACGCTGGCGGGCCGCCTGCACGACAGACAGGCAGACACACGGACAGACAGAGAGATGCAGCCGGCGTGGGGGCGTTCGGTACCTCAAACTCCTCCTCGGTGGGCTCCTCCGGCTTCTGCAAAGGAGGGAGAAGACAGGACAGAGGAACGGAAGGACGCACAGACAGTGAGTTGAGTGGGTGCTGCAGGGCAGGACGGTGTGAAGGAAGGTGGTTGCCTGACGGACTGACTGACTGACTGACCTTTCGTTTCTCTTTGGCCGAGAAGCGCTGCTCCAGGTCATCCAGAAACGACGCATTCTTCGCCTTCCGCTGCTGCAACACACACACACACACACATCCAACGTGTCAGGAATACAATTAACACATCAAACACGGAAACAGCTCCTTCCTGCTCCTCGACCTGTATAGCAGCGATCAGCCCGCCCATGCCGTCATCAGCACTACTCGCGGCGGCAGCAGCACTACTCCCACCTCCCCGGCGTCGCCTCCCGCCACTGCCCCCGGCCCCCTCTTTGCCTTTGAGTTCCTCCATGGCCTCCTCGGCCTCCTTGGCCTCGCGTGAGATGCGCCGCGCCAGCTTCTCGGCCGCCTTGCGCAACTTGGCCTGCGACGGGCCGTACTGACGCTTCTTGGGCAACTCCTACGTGACACATCAATCAGTGGCAGGAGGACAGACAACGGAGGAAGGAACGATGGTTGTGTTGTGTTGCGCTGTGCTGTGCTCTCTCCCTCTGTGTGTGTGTGTGCGCACCTTGTCTGCGATGAGCTGGTCTAGTGTTTGTATGAATCTGTCGAGGTCGTCCGGCCTGGCCAGGGGGATGTAATCGAGCAACAGGCTGACATCACCCTCCTTACTGAAACACAAACGTGACACACAACACACCATTCCCCATCTGTCGTCCCACCAATGGCCTCGCCGTGCGGACTCACTCGACATAGAAGTTCTTGAGGTCTTCCTTCTCCTCGTCGCTGCCCCTGTAGCTGCGCTCGAACTCTGCTATGTCCTGCGGGGTGATCTTGGGCCGCACACGGCGGTAGTACTCATACGCCGTCTCAAACTCCACCGCCGCATCCTCGTCAGCCAATCCTGCAATGACGGCCACCCACACACACAGCAGACATCTGCAGAAGGGGGCTGCCATCGAGCAGACACATATGACACACATGCTGACCGGTTTCGTCGTAGATTTCCCTCTGTTTGGGGTCTTTGAGTATGTCATACGCCTTCTTCAGCTGCTGGAAGTTGTCCTTGGCGTCCTTGTCGTTTGGGTTCTTGTCGGGGTGTACCTTGAGGGCCATGAGGCGGAAGGCCCGCTGGATCTCGGACGGCGACGCCGACGCATCCACACCCAGCAACTCGTACAGCTTCGTGTCCTTCACCATCGCGACACTTCTCCACTTCAGAACGGCTTCAAGCTCGCAAAGATGAATAGGCGCAGAGCAAGACGACCAAGTAGAGCTGCGGATGGCGACCGGGTCAGATTAAATACATACCCACGGGCTTTCATGTATGTGTGTAGACAGCCTTTATCTGTGTAGCTCTTTGTATGCGAGAGACAAGTAAAGGCTTTGTCGACATTCGTGACAAGCCCGTGACATACGAAGGTATTCGCCCACGCAAAGTTTGAGACAGGCAGCTAGAACAGACATAAGCTGTGGAGGTCTCCCCTACCATGGTACAGTACACTCACAGTTTCCTACCGCTGGTGTCTCACTTTCAGGAAACTGCAGGCCTTCGTCGCCCGTTGTGGCGCCGACCTACCATGGCGGTCCGCCTGCCATGGGCGGCATCGGTGAGTGAGGGGGATGGATGAATGACCAGTAATTTGAACCGCCGGCTCAAATGTTTCAGGCGGCGCCCCGTACGCGGCGCCCCGTATGCAGTAAGGCGGATACAACCACAGCAGGGCTACTACGAATAAGGTCGGTGCTGGGGTGGGTCAAATATGTCTCAAGCCATGTGATGACGTCACGTGTGGATGTGTGTGTGTGTGTGTGGGGCAGCGATGTGGCTGCAGGAGCAACAGCAACAACAACAGCAACAGCAGCAGCAACGACTCACTGGCCAGCCGATGGGTGGGTGGCTGGAGGGGAAGGAGAACACTTCATTGTTCGACCACCCTTCGATTTATTCTTTGTTCGATTTATTCTATGTGTTGGTCGGTATGTGTGCAGGGATGCGTGGTAACAGCCACATATATACACCCAAGGCGAAATGCATGAATCGGCTGTCACTCAGGTCCGGTGATCATACAGTGCCAGCGCCCTCCGATGGTGCAGCCTCGTCCTCCCCCTCCGAGGCCCGTTGAAGGATCACCCAGGCGTCACCGTGGGGAGCGGGCAGGGAGTGAGTGACCGAGACAAAGGAGACGAGAACCGTGCCTTCTATAGGCGTGTCTGTATCATTAGGGAACAACCCAGTGTCTCCGAGAAATAGTCGCCAAAACGCCCCCCAGAGGATCTGGGCGCCTGCGACAAGATCTACCTCTGCAGGTATGATGCTCTTGGGGCCGGCCCGACCTGGTGCGCTACACACACACACACACACACACAGAGAGAGAGAGAGAGAGAGGAAGAGAGAGAGGCGCTTGCCTTCTTGATGTGCGACACGCAGACAGCCCGAGAGCTAAGGAGCTCCAAGAAAGATACATCGCCGGTACATACCGAGATATACATTCACACAGAGCTACTTGACCTTAGTTTTTCTGTCTGTGAATGCAGCCGACCTTGATCGGCTGAAAGGAGACCTGCTCTACAATGCGGGGCCGGCCGATGGTTTCCCTGACTTTGTCGTGGGGCTTAGCGAGTGGATGCAGCGTGCTCACGCATTCGCACGCCGCGCCAACCTCCGAGCCATCGACCCTCAGGCCATTGCGTCGTTTCAGAGCACTTTGCGGCTTTTCGTGGCTGCACACATAAAGTGTAAGGGTGTATGTGGGCATATATATATAGTACTTACGTTATGTGTTTGGCTGACTCAGGCACCATCCTCCGCCAACAGTGCCAGCGCCAGCAGTTGACGGGCCGTCAGCAGGAGCCCAGCCTTACAGCAGGGGTAGCGGAGAGGGTGACCGCAGCATCTGGGGCGTCAGCGTCACCAAGTGCACGGCCTGCAGGTAAAAAGAGTGCTCAAGCATGGACGCACCCACGCATCATGTCTTCGCGACGTATGTGCGTGTGTGTCTCCCCACTCTAGAGCGAGGCAGCGGGAGCATGTCACCATCCACCAAGACGGATCGGCTGCCTGGTATAAAGATGTCGCGACACGTAGCTATAGGCAGCCAGGCAAAGCCGCCTCACGCGTCATGACTGTGCATGAGTTGGCATGCAGGGCATAGCAAGACGGCCCAAGTAGAGCTGCGGATGGCGACTGGTGAGTGAGTCAGAAATACATACCCACGGGCATTCATGTATGTGTGTAGAAGTCTGTCTGTCTGTGTGTATGTAGGAGAGACAAGTAAAGGCTTTGTCGACATTCGTGACAAGCCCGTGACATACGAAGGTATTCGCCCACGCAAAGTTGCAGACAGGCAGCTAGAACAGATATATGGACCTATGTGCAGAGGCCGGCGACAGCTGGTGTGACAAGATCGCTTGAATTTCCAGCGAAAACGAGCTTTGGGATACATTTGAAGAGCACGTGGATTCGCTGCGGTCGATGATGATTGCGGGCTCCGACTATAGTGTACTCGACAGCCAGCGATTGTGTACATTGGCGTTTGACGCTGTGAAATACAGACTGCTCCGTAAGCTATCGTGCATCCATGCACACGCTGCCACGATTGATTGGTGGTTCTTGTCTGTGCTGCAGGTCTGCAGGAGGCCATGCCACCAGGGGAAACTCTAGACTTCTTCAGTGGGTGGCAATCCATCCATTTTTGCTTTACATTCCTCTCATTTTGCTCAGGTCATCAATGTTGACCGCGGCGTGATAAACAGTGTCATATCGCTGGCTACAATTTATATCCCGACGTCAGTGGAGACGAAGAGACACGCCCTGTATTCGTCATTACTGACTTCCAAAGCTCACCAACCCGTGGTAGCGGATGCATGCACTGAAAGATAGACAGACAGACAGACAGACAAAGAACAGATCCATCTCTCTGTCTCTGTGTGTGTGTGTGTGTGTCTGTGTGTGTCTGTGTGCGTCTGTGTGCGTGTGCAGGCGGCAATGCAGGGCTGCAACCGCATCCAGACACGGTTCCAACGACGGTAGATCCCCTGGTTCCAACGAGCATGCCCAGTCTTGTCATCCACCATCTATTCCGCCCTAAGGCTGGGCATGCCAGTCAGTCACGCGCACCCCTGTCACACTGTGCCCCATTCATTGATGTATCATGCGCGTACGTCTCTTGGATGGCTGTTGTCAGATGCTGGCCGGGACACTGAGCAGTACGCAGCGTGTATCCGTGAAATGGGGCTCCGGCGATAGCACGTCATGGACTGCTGTCTCCTCATCTCTCTCTCGATCGACGCCCATCGCCTCATCGCCCGCCCGCCTCATGGCCTTCTACGCTTCAAACAAATGGTAACGAAAGCCGGCCCCGACTTGTGGTAACGAAATGATATAGCAAGTGATATAGCGAGAAAAACGATACTCACTGATGCACAGCCGTTGATCCAAGTGCGCGTCTTGTGTTCTGTGTGCCTGCCCATCAGTGTCGTGGTGAAATGTGTGAAAAGTTTGTTTCTCGACAGCAGGATGGGCGCAGGTCACTGCCGCTGGTTTTGAGGGTGAGGAGAACGTGTCGTTTTGTCTCAACCAATTCGAAATCGATCATTGATGTGTGTGCATGCCCTGCAGCGACTTCTCTATCGAGCTTGCAGTGGTAGACGGTCGGGGTGTCGAGACCCTGCTGGGCAGCACTCTCGTGGAGCGTATGCATACGCGTGCCCGTCGGGTTTACCACTACCATCACCATCGAAGACATCGTGACCCGGCCAACAGACCAGGCAAGAGCAGCGCACGTGGTGTGTGAAATGATGCCTGAGACGGAGTAGGGATAGCAAGGTGTGACATGCACGGTTGGGCAACTTGGGCTGTCTGTCTGCCTGTCTGTCTGTCTGTCCGTCGGTATGTGGTCTAAGTCCATGGTTGGGGAAGGAATGCCTAGGCTGTTTCCGTCCGTTTGGTTTGATGGATTGCATTGGTTGATGGGCTGAAACGATGTCACGGCCGCTAGAAATTGGCGTGGCGCGTGTGTGTTTGCGTTGACGTGGACCGACCAACCAACAGACATAGAAAGAGGGAGCGAGGTGGGACAGGGAGAGAGAGGGAGAGGGCGAGGGCGGTCACAGACACACATGGCCTGGATGCTCTTGGGCCGTCTGAGTGAGTGTAAATGAATGGACGAATGCATGATCGGATGACTGTCTGACAGCGTCTGTCTGTCTGTCTGCATTGGGTGTGCAAGAAGCCGGAATTCACGACCACTGCATGGTGAGTGAGTGAGTGCGTTCACTTCAACGGGGGGGGGAAACTGTCATTAACCGTAACACTCGTCTGTGTGTCCGTGATACTCATACAAATACAGTCCCATCAGCACGCAGAGTCAAACAGGCTCAAGGGGAGGAGGGATCAATCCCCGCCCCATCAGCACACCCCAGTCCCGCAAACCCTCCCCTCCCTCCCCCACGCAGACAGAAGCTAGTCCGTTCACTTCAACACACACAACGAATCCATTCCCACACACAGAAAATATAGAATGATTACGATTAATGAATGACAAACACCCGGCCAGTGTCCGAACATTCAAGACAGACGGCATCCAAAGCCTTCAATCAACGCATGAGAAGGAAAGCTTCAGCAGACCCCTTCCCATCACGTACACAACTAAGTAGAGAAAGCAAGTCTGTCAACAGGCAAGGCAGTAAAGACGAAAAAGGGACACACACTGCATAGAGACAACAAGCCAGTGAAACAGTCGTACGTCATCACACACGTCCCATCGTCTTTGCAGCCGGCGAAATCAGTGGGGTCATCGTTCAGCTGTGCTTGATCATGTTGTCGCTGCTGATATCGGAGATGGGGTGTATGTATCGTGGCGAACTGCTGCCGGTGGGACCTCAGCATGGCCAGGCTGCGGTCCCACCACCAGCAGTACAACACAAAGCCCCCCATCCCAGGCGTGAGCAGCAAATCCATGATGCCACTTTGTGTACTCATCGGCAGACACGAAGACGGCCACACAAGGCTTACACATCCACGTGTATTCTCACAGACAGATACACAGACTCCCTCCCTCCCTCCTTCTCCAGTGAGCCCTCGCATTTCGCCCACATGCAGTCTGGCTTTGGCAACAGGCCCCTTTCGTACTCCGGCAGCAGATCCTCACTGCTCACAGCCGCTTTCCCACCCGCCACATACTGTACGGGCGTGTCTCCCAGCTCCTCCGGCCGTGTCCCCGACGCCTGTGTCTCCTCTTACCCCTCGCCGCCTTGCGCCGGTCGGTCGTCTTTTCTTGGTCAGCAGCACAGCCCTCGATGGCGGCTGTTGGGGGGTGCGCAAGGGGAGGGCAGGGGAGGGTTCCGTCAGCCGCTGCTGCTGCCATGGCCCTGTCAACGTTGACCTCGAAGTTGCTGACGAAGGAAGCCCTTGGCGTCCATCACGGCAGACGAGGAGGAAGCGCCACGACGACCAGTCCTGAAAAGGAAAGAGGTGGACAGCAGCAATCCGTTAGCTTGAAGTGTTTTTTCGTGTCAACCCGTGCCACCCATTCGATCGTCACCTGCTGCGCAGCTGCATCTTGCCGGTGCTGCCCACAGGTGCGTGCTGGCGCACCTTGGGCTCCTCCCATCCTCCCCGTCGCCCGCCTTGCGCTTCCTGCTCTTGTTGGCCTCTTCCGTATGTCTCGATGAGCTGCACAGCTCGCCCCTTCCTGGCCTGGGCGGCAGGGAGTCCAGCCACTTGCTGTCGCTGCCTTACTTGCCGTGTGCTGACGGAGGGGCCAGCTGGCAGGCCGGCAGGGGGGAGAGAGGGCTGGGAGGTCGCTGGCTGGTGTGGCTTCCTCAATGGATTGTGACGGAGGAAGAGGCTGAGAGTCCTGATGTGGCGGCGGGTCAGCACCCTTGTCTGTTGAGGCAGCAGCAGGGGCACTCTCCCGCCACTTCTGTGCTATCCTCTCGCAGAGGGTGCCGTGACGGCGCCTCGCGCACTCCTGGACTGACGCAGACACGCGAGGAGTGGCGCAGCGATACATACCTCAACAGAGCGGTGGACGCACGCCTGACCACCACACACACAACACGGTCAGCGAATGTGGAGGTGTATTGCGTGTGTGTGATATCTACGCACCTCCTGTAAGCATCGAGTGACCTCGTCGGATCAATCCCCTCCGCCTAGCAGTGCCTTCCGCAGCGCTGTCCTCAGCCCGCCGCCCTCGACGCCCCATTCACAGACCCGTTTGGTTGCAAGAGCGACGGAGGTTGGCCTCCTTCGGTGAGGAAATGGAGTGGAAGCGACCTGCAGGAAACACACAGGGCATCCATCGAAAATCGCCTTGTGACACCACATAGTACGTGTAGGTTCTTTCCTTACCGGTTGAACAGTCTCCAGCGCTCTTTGTGATCGTGCACCTCGGGGCACTCCCGCAGCCTCTGCGCCTCACGCAACACACACTCTGACCTGAGATGAATGGACAAATGGCGGCGCACACGACACACGAGATCCTGTATGCGTGTTACAACAAGTTTTCTGTGCCTTACGTGATGTGGTCCATCCAAGCGTCATTGACGACGTCGGGCAAGGGCAGCGTGCGCCTCTCCACGAATTTACGAGCCGTTGCCGTTGATCCGGCACACCAAATGGCCGCCGTCCGCGTGACTTTCCTCCTCGCTGCGTGCCTCACCGTCGCCGCACAGCAGTCGGGGAGTGGCCTGGACCCGAGCTTCAGTTATTTCAATCTTGACGGGTCAGAGTACCGCCCCGCAGCCAAGGACACGGCAACAGAGGGTTCGACGGGTTCGACCGCCCAGACGTCTGGCAGCAATGTCAGGGCTGCCGGCGATAACGACGACGACGACGAGGCTCTCCTGAACCGGTTGGCGGAGACGCTGCAGAAGGAAGCCGATTGTGACGCCGACAAAAAGTGAGCGGCTGTATAAAACAAGACTGACGGGCGCGTTTGAAATTGAACGGATTGGAATGATGTTTGTGATGGTGTGTCCTGACTGGCTGCAGGGCAGACGCAGGCGGCTGCAAGAGTGAGGATCGACCGACGCACTACCGTGCTTTATTCTTTTGTTCCCTCTGTGTGATGGCTGTCTTTCTCGATGCAGAGATAATCTCGGGCAATCCTGTCCTGAATGGACAGAATGGCGACATCCTCGCGGAGGGGAATCTGCTGGTGCAGGGAGGAGCGTTGATCGATGACGGCGTCACCACCACCGAACTCGTGGCCTTAAGGGAGTGCCACTGCGGGGACGAAACCGTCAGCCGCCGTGTTGTTGCCGGCGCCTTCGAGGTACGAGGCAGCGACCGACTCGCAGACGGCGAACAGGTGCCCTCATCGATGGCCGAGTGGAGCAACACTGATCGGTCGGCGGCGTATCAGGCGTTCCGACAGCTGCGTGTGCTCTCTGACGGCGATGCGCGGCTCGGTCTGGCAGCTGCTCAGGTCCAGAAGGTCTTCCCATCGGCAGTCAAGACGTTCGTGTCCCGGGCCAGTGACGAACAAGGTGGCGATGCGCAGAAGGGAGAGGGGCCTGCTGGCCAACTGACCATCGACATGACACAACTGCTCTACACACAAATGGCCGTCACTCAAGACCTTATCGACGACTATATCGACGAAAAGGAGCGACTGAACAAGACCAACAAGGGGATGGCCAAGAACATCGATAGCCTTACCGGGACAATGGCTGACGTTAACGACACGCTTGAGCGATTGAGGAAAGCCAATGAGACCGTGATGGATCGCATCACGCGGCTGGAGCAGGACAGTGGTGCCGATGAGCAGCGCCCGCTGGGTCCGATTGAGGCGCTGCGGAAGGTGGCTGTTGGGCAAGACCAGGCCAAGACGATTGAGGGCCTCAAGAAGGCCAATGGGGAGCTGAGGACGGCCAACGAGGATATGAACAAGGCCATGGACGGCTTAAGAAAGGCCAACGAGGCCATGCTGGATCGCATTGCTCGTCTGGAAGAGGGCGCCACTGCCGGTGATGAGTCGTCGGGCCGGATTGACTTTGTCAAAATGGCCGCTGCTCAAGACGACATCAAGGCCGACAAGAACCAGGCCGAGACGATTGAGGGCCTCAAGAAGGCCAACGAGGAGCTGAGGACGGGCAACCAGTCTATGAAGAAGACCATTGAAGAGCTTCTGGGTCGGGTCGGCCGCCTGGAGCAGAGCTTTGAGAAGCTCTTGCAGGGACTCATGGCTCCGTCGAGGAGGTCAGCGGGCAATGCGCCGGCCGTCCCAGGACGGAGAGGAGGAGCCATCCAGAAGATCGTGGAAGGCCTCATGGCGCCATAGGAAATTAGATAGCCGGGTGCATGTTCGTGGCTGTGCTGTGCCGTGCTGTGATGGTGGGGGGAATGGATGGATTGTATTTGTGACAGATGGGAGCAGTGAGTGGAGCGGTGCGTGTGGGCGTCATGTGTGTGTCTCTCTTTGTCCCTCGTGGGCGTGTGGTGAGTGAGGGGGAGCGTGCTGTCTTCTCTTGTAGTTCATTCTTCTTTCCTTCTTTCCTTGCTTCTAATCCCTTCGTTCCCTTGGTTCTTTTCGTGTGTCGTTCGTTGATTGGCGTGAGTGAGCGGACGAACGAGTGCGTTTACTGTACGTGTAGGTAGGTGTGTATGCTCAATTCATTCACTTCTGTGGCTGTGGGAGACTTGCACACATGGCACACGTCCCCACTTAATTCGACACTATGACACAGCCAGTTGAGTGAGTGGGTCAGTGAGTGGTGTCTTCACATTCTGCATCCCGCCCTCTGAATGGCGTCAAGCATCAAACGCCAGAAGGCATCCATATTCATGTCAGTCGGTGCACACGCCCACATTGGGCGTCTTGTGCGTCAGGCTGAACAAGTCAGACACCGGCTGCTCGGGCGGTTGCCAAAGTTTCATTCCGCCGAAGGGTTGGAGGCCGTCGCCGCCCTCATCGCCATCGGCCAGGGGCGGGCCGCACTCTGACTCGCCGTCTTCAACTGATGTGATGGACGGACACAACACAGAGGGAAGGGGGTGGCGTACATCGCCGTGTGTGCTGCGATGGTGTGTAGGCTGGCGTAGTTTGTAGAGGCAGTCGAGGAGGCCGGCCTCCAGACACTCACACCGACTGCAGCGCACCAACACACACCACACACAGCACACCATGCCCCTCTCCCCTCCCCGCCTCCCATGCGTACCGGTCGAAGATGAATACGATGCCGTTGAGCAGCACGCCAGCCGTCGGCAGCCGAAGCTCATGATCCTGTGGGTCGTGGCAGACACACAGACGTCATCCGCCAATAGGATGCGTCCGTGCCCACGTGCACATGGCTGCCCACCAAGTTGCATGCATGAGCTGGTCACAATGTGTTGACAGCGACATGCAGGCCATCCACACTCCTCTGCACGACACACACAGACAGCACAAGGGAGGGAGAGAGGGAGGGAGGGAGGGATGCAACGTGATGGGCTGCGTGAAGTGCTGTGGATACATCGATGTGTTGTGCTTCGGTGAAACATTTCCTCTTCATGTGATCAGGCCGGCCGTCCTGCACACTAAAGAAACGGAGGGATGCGCACACACATCTGGCCATGGAGACCGACCTGCAGGTCTCATGGCGCTCTCACCCGGGCAGCCAGATGTGCGAGGCCATGCATTCCAGTGCACATCTTCACTGTGTACCGCCGGCGTACCTCTCCTCTTCAGTATCTCACGATGAGGGTCTGACAACGGAAGTACGTACGGCCAGGTTTTTCGGCCAGGCAATGCGAGCTTCTCAGCTCGCGAAAGGAATCACACGAACACCTGATTGATGAAAATGCCTTTAATCTGCTCCTCATCTGCCTGTCTGTCAGTCTCTTGATTTTGACTGCATATCTCGTGTTGTGTGTACCCGTCGTCTGCACCGCCACTCACACGCCATCACTGACTGACCGACGTCGGGTGAGCGACAGACCACTCACGCGCCGATTGAGTGTGTTCATTTGTTCACACGGATGTGTGCAGGCGGCAGGTTCGATTTGTCACCTGCCCCACTGTATCGCTTCCCCATTGACAGCCGCTGCACGGCCGTTGAATCGTCACCAGCACACGTAAGGAGGCAGACGAGGCGCTCACACATCCCGTTTGCATGCCATTCTGTGTCGTTCATTCTAGATCTCACTCATGGCGTCTGACTCTGTTCCCTCTCTGTGGGCCCTCTCACTCAAGAAGGCCTCTCACATGCTCGATGACCCCTCCAGGCGGCCGGCACTCGTCACACAGATCGACAAGCAGCCGCCCACAGAGATCCCCAGAGGCGTCACCCTGCCGGCCGTCCTGCAACAGCGCATCGAGCGGGCCATTTACCCCGAGGATCTTCATGACCTCTTGGCCTTCGACATTCCGGACGTGGCGGGGGCCCTCAAGACGGCCCATGTGCTGGAACGATGCAGCGGCCACTGGAAGATGATCAAGGCCTTCATCCCCCTGGTCTTCATCCACCAGCTCACCCCCAATGCGACGCGGCCCCTCATGCTGTCGGCCGATTCGCTGCCCACCACTTCGGCATTCGATGAGCTGCCCCTCACAATAGCCATCTACAGCACATTCGGCCACTTGCTCAGCCACCGGGGGACCAGCCTGGAGCTGCAGCGAGCTGCCAACGGTGCCTATCGGATCGGCAATAAGGTGTTCCGTGTGGTGCCGTTGGATGAGCTGCCGGCCGATCATCCCTACCGCAGCACATACACGGACAGCGATCCCGTCATCCGCTATGAGGCCTGGCTCTTCCCATCCTTCACGGCATTCCTCATGTGGATGCTTCTGAAGTGGTGGTCTGATCACGAGGGAGTGGGAGAGAAGGAGGTGCTGCGGGCATTCACCGACCATCACGACCCCCGCTCCCAGAGGCTGGTGACAGCTGGCGAAATTCCCGAGCAGCTAGGCATCACAGCCGACTACCGGCGTGACGGCAGGGACCTCAATACAGCCGATCCGATCGACTGTCGTCATGTGATTGTGAGCGGCTTCCGCCCCACAGACACCATCGCTGTCTATCTGTGGGTGGGGTTGGGGAAAATCGGGCTGTGGACGACCGAGTCGGCTGCTGCTGGTGCGTCCGCCTCCCTCGATGAGCGTTTTCCCGTGTCGATGCCCCGGTGGCTCAGTGTGCTGAAGCGATTCGACCTGGAGAGTGACGTCATCGATCGGCGCTCGGTGCTGGTGTGACGCCTCAAGGCTCAAGGTCGGGCGGAGGGATGTGACGATGGGCCAGTGTGTGTCTGTTGAGACCACGGCTGAGTCCTCTGCTCTGTCCCTTCCTCCCTGCCGGCCTGCCTGCCTGCCTGCCCGACTGCTTTCGTGTTTCCCGCTCTTCAGTGAAGTCTTGTTGCTGTGTGGCCGTCTGAGGGCTTCTGTGGATTGTCCCTCTCCTCTCTCTCTCTTTCTGCCTCTCCACGTGTGTATGTGAGTGACTTGTTTTGTGGCTCGTGCGTGTCAGTTTTGTGAAACGCATACCAATTCTTTGACACGCACACGGTATTGCGTGGGTCTGCCGGTCTTTAGTAAATGTGAGTCATTCACTCATTCTTCATCCACACGTCCATCGATGCGTATCCAACGGACCGACCGATCCGACCGACCCGACTGACTGACTGACTGACAAAAACGCCCTCTTCCGTAACGTTTTATGGCGCGGGCCATCCATCCATCCATCAGAGAGCGAGACATAGATACACACCGACAGAGAGCCGCCCGCAGCACTGCACGGCGCAGCGCAGCAGCCGACTTATCAACATACATACAAACATATGCGCACGAAAGGCCGTAACTCTCTCTCTCTCTCTCTCTCTGTACACACCTGCACAAATACGGTTATCAATATATATTGTTAGCCCTAGCTGTTGTATCTAATCTGCACACAGACCGATGCCACACCACACCACACCACCCCAGATCTGCAGAGGGGAAACCGACCGACAAACAGAGAGGGGAGTGGGGACAGTCATGAAGACACCGCTAACGCGCGTATAGACACCCTCCCATCCATCCACTGCATGTGAGTGTGCGCGTGCGGCCACGGACGGACAGATAGATAGATAACACCCACACTCACACCCACACCCACACAGCACGTTTATTTCCTTCCTCCATCCATCCATCCATCCATGTCTCACGTCTCACGTCTCAGGATCATGTTTCATGTACGTATGTGTCGGTCCATAAATAGATACACATATCATACGTATCCGGCCCTACATATCTACGTGCTCCGCCTGCGCGCAGGCAATACATATAATACCATCCAATACAATACAATGCAATATAGACAGACAGGCAGGCAGGCAGGCAGCTAGTACACAAGAAAGAAAAGAAACAGCGCACAAACCGTCTGTCTGTCTGAATATCTGTCTGAATGTCTGTCTGTCTGTCTGTCTGTGTATGCGTATGTATGTATGTATATATGTACACCCGACCCAACCGATCACCTCACCCGCCCGGTGTCTTGCCCTTCCCCTTGCCCACCCACTTGCCCTTCCCCTTGCCCATCCACTTGCCCTGCCTGCCCTTTCCTTTCCACCCGCCCTTCCCCTTGCCCCTCCCCTTGCCCTTGTTGTTGTTGTTGTTGTTGTTACGCCTCCTCGTGGGTGTGTCTGTGTCTGCAGAGCACTCCTTCGGCCCGCTGATGGTCTCAAGCGCACCCTCTGCGTTGGGCTTGACGCTGCCGGCCGTGTGCTTCAGCCTGTGCACACACACACGAAACACAGAATGGATGGATGGAGACACATGTGGGTTGGTTGATTCGAGTGGTCCGTCGTCCTGTGCTTACACGCAGTTGTCGGCCTGTTTGCCCACCCTCTCCCTCATGCCGACAATGAACGTCCAGAAGAGACACTCACGCATTTGGCGGCAGGCCGCCTGACACGCGTCGGCAGACGGCACATCGGCAAGTGCACGGGCGATGTCCCCAGTGAAGTAGACATTTCTCGCGGAGCACTTGCTGCTGCTCTTGCTGCTGCTGCTGGGGCTGGGGCTGCCGCTCTTGGTGGTGTTGTCCGATGCGCCAACGGCCAGCTTGGCTGCGTCTTCGCCATTGGGCCACTCGTCGGCCCGCTGGGCATGGCCAAAGGGCAGGCCCGAGAGGGGGCTGTTGTCAAAACCGTGATGCTGGCTCCCCTGCTCGGCAATGCCGCGGTAGCCCATCGCGGCGTTGGTGTTTGTGTCGGGGAGGATCTTCTCCTCGCCGTCGTCGGGCTTGCTGCCCGCCGGATGCATCATCCCCTCCTCCCTCCCCTCCAGCTGCATCACAGGCATCTCCTGCAGGCGCTTCAGCGCCTCGGACCTCAGCCACTTCCACTGCCTGCTCTCGCCACACACACGCGGGCCCATGGTGACGCCAGCCTTGCGGACGAACTGAGAGGGCGTCACGCGGAGCTGGCTGCTGGTGTCTGCCATCCGGCGCAGAGTGCTCTCGGTGGAGAGGTCGGCTGATGTGCCTGTGGGTGTGGCGCTGGTGATGTGCTTGAGCCAGCAGTTCATGGCGGAGAGGGGCTCTGTGTGGACATAGCTGAAGGCGTCGCAGGGGGGGTCGGTCTGGTGGACGCACTCCTGCTGGCACAGGTAGACGGACGGCACGAAGTCGAGCCACTTGACGTCGTAGTCGGGCAAGTCGACGTCGTCCAAGACGCAATCAGCATGGTCAATCTCGCCCTCTGCATAAACACACACACACACAAAAATTGCTATAGAGGGGAGAGAGAGAGAGAGAGAGACACGGCCCTCCCCCCGCCAGCACACCGAATGGCTCAGCGACGGGCGAAGGTTTGTGAAAGAGAAAGGCCCTCTCGAGTGTGACATTGGTGCCGTCATCGAAGGTCACAGTCATGTCGGTCCACGCATCAAGCGGCACCTCGATGCCCTTGCTCGTGCGGTGGGTGGCCGTGCCTGCGGGGTAGGTCTTGTGTGGCGGGGCAGGTGAGGGCGGCGGCTGGTCCATCGACACGGCGCACGACATGAAGATGTCCTGGATGTCTGTGATGATGCACGCCAGTGGGCCGATGGTGATGCCGTTGGGCCTCGCCAGCCCGTTGTTGGAGAGGAACCTCCTGCCGCCGATGACCACCCTCTGGTCGTGGTCCACATTCCCTCGCCACGGCGTCACGTCCCATACCTGTAGACCCACACACCCACACACAGTGTACCTGCTCTCTCTCTCTCTCTCTCTCTCTCTGCGTACCACAGGCTCATGCCCGTCGTCTGCCTCTGCGTCATGGTCGTGGTGGTGGTGCTCCTCCTTCGGTGTGAGCACGGTGAGCCGGTTGCCGCTGAAGTCCAGGCCTAAGAGCTGACAGCCGGGGCCGTACTCCAGGCCGAGGGCCTTGAGCTGGTTGCTCAACACAGACACCGCAACCGACGGGGCGAAGCCATCCCCTGCGTCGGACGCCGTACGATGCACACTGATACACACAAAACACCATACAACACAGAGAGATGTCCGTCTGGGTGGTGGGTGTCTCTTCTCTGACCGAAAGACTTTCTGGTTCCATTGGGCTGCGACGAGGTCGCCTCGCAGCTGGCCGCCGAAGCAAGCACCTGCAAAGCCATGCCCCACACACAAGCGCACGATGCGCAAACACCGACAGACACAATGGCTGGCTGGCTGGCTGGCTGTTGTGGCCACCATACCTCTGAACTCGGTGATTCCGTTGGTGGACGAGTCGATGTGGTAGCCCTGCTGGTAGCGAGCCGGATTGGGCGGGTCGGAGGCAGCGTAAAAGTACCACTGACGGGGGTCGCTCTGCGCCCTGTTGGGGTTGGGGTACCCGTGATATGTGCGGCCCGTCAGAGGACCGTATATCTGCCACACACACACAGGCGCAAACCAACATACCAACCACGATGCACATGAGTGTGCGGGCGATGAGCTCACTCACTGACTCACTCTGTCGGACGAGTATGAGGGCACTTGTCTGGGTTGGCATTCGGGCCACCCCAAGCCGCACTCGATGGTGGCGGGGTCCCTGCCCGTCTTCTTGGCCGTCGCCTGGGCGGCCGCCACGCGGCTGCGAAAGACGTCCACACCTGCGTTGTCGAACCGCTTACCCAGACCCTCAGACGCACCATTCGCCGAGCACCAGATGTCACCTGCATACACACACACACACACACAGAGAGAGAGAGAGGTACTTTTGTGTGGGTGGGTGAGTGAGTGGATGGGTGGGGTCGTGATCGACCTTTTGTGGTGACAACGGGCTCCCAGCTGTTGTGGAACCCCGCGGCGTGCCAGTCGACGCCTCTGGTTTTGGGGCTGATGTCGAACAGACTGGCGTTGCGCTGGTCGTTGGGCGCCGGCTTGCCCGCCAGCCCCTTGTGGCGCGTGTAGACGGTGTCCTTGTAGTCGTACATGACGTAGCCGTTGAAGTCGGGCCGCCTTATCTCGGCCTGATCGATGGATGAATGGATGACACCACCCACAGTCAGACAGCTGTATGCGTGTTCATGTTTAAACCCACACCCACCCACAGGCCACTGACTGACCTTGCCGATGGCTCCTGAGAGAGGGCTCTCCTCAATCATGCCGAAGAAGCACTCGGCCGGCCCGCCGTTGGTGACGCTTCCCTGGCCCCAATACATGGTCCCGTTGAAGTCGAAATCCATCCCGTTGACACACACGTCCCCATTGCTGCACGGCAAATTGCTCAGCACCGGCTGCACAGCCGGCGGCTGCTCGTCCCCCTCCGGCCGCAGCGTGATCCTGCTGATCCGCCCGATGAAGCCCAGCCCCTCCTTGAGCACCCGGTCGCACCCGTGGCCCTTGGCGTAGATGTCGGCGTGTGCCACGTAGAGGTGGGGAGCGTTGGGGTCCGAGTAGGGGTCGATTCGTATGCCGAGGATGCTATGCTCGTCGCCGTAGACATCCTTGAGAGCCCGGATGGTGGAGTGACTCCGGACGGTGAGGGGGGCGGCGTCCGGGCCGTTGTACTGGTGCGCCAGCTGGACCACATGGATGAGGCCCGAGACGGTGCCGACGTAGAGGTTGCCGTCGGGGCCCATCGTGGCGGCGGTGGGGCCGCCCTCGATGGGGAAATCGAAAGGAGGGTACCATGCTATCTTGGGCAGCGGCTTGGACGGACCTGGGCCATCTGCATGCAGCACACATAGAATGTGTGTGTGGGAGAGACGGGCGGGTGCACGGGGGCGTACCATACCGTACCATTGCCCTTTGCGAGTTTGTCAGAGAAGGTGAATGTGGCTGTGTTGGACTCGTCGTCGCCGATCTTCACCGCCACCCCCACCCTCACGTCCCCCCTCTCCCCCTGCTGCATGGTCATCGCCCCACCACCCACGCCCTTCAGCGGCACCTCAATCGTCAGCCGGTCGTGCGCCACGCCCTCGGGCGTGATCACATCGTCACCCCACTTGACCACCACACCCCTGCCGGGCGCCTCCGTCTTGAGCAGCGCGTTGCCATACACCTGGATCATGGCCGTAGGGGCGCCCCCTCCCTCTGGCTGTCTGGATGGCGGATGCGGGAGTGCCTGTGGATCGATCTTGTTGATGAACGGCTTGGCTGTCGATGTGTCGTGGAAGACCAGCACATTGGGATTCAGGTGGGGGAGGGAGGGGGCAGCGGCGGGGGCGGCTAGGTGCTTCAAGTCATGGTTGCTGCTGGTGCCGTGCTTGGCCAGCCACTCAGACCGAAAGAGGGGAAAGGGATCGCCGTTGACCAGCAGCTATACCACACCACACACAGAGAGATAGACAGTGGGAGATGAAGCCATGGGAGTGTCTGTCTGACTGTGTGTGTGCATCCCTTTCTCACCCTGAGTGCGGTAGTGGGCTGCTCGACGGCGAACCTGACCTCCAAGTCAACCACCTCGTCAGCCTTGTACGCGTTGCCCCGGATCTTGTGCTCGCCGCGCTCGTTGTGCAGCAGCACGTGCCCGCCCACACGGACGCTGCCCACCACACCCTCGCCGCCCCACGCATTGAGGATGACATGGTCGTCCTCCTCGTCAAGGGCACCCTGCTGCTGGTTCATGAGCCGCTGCATCGGGCGGTGGGATGAGGCGCGCCTTGCCGCCTGCAGGTACCTCCACGGCACTCTGGCCGTCGCCCGGACCATGACACCCTTGTCGTATGTAGAGCCCTCACCGCCGATGAAGGGCCGGCCATTGGGGGCGTTCTGATCACACACACATCACATCATGATGCCGATCGGCATCACGCTTGCGCCCGTCTGTGTGCTGTCTCTGCGGTCGATCGATAAGCGGCCAACCTGCTGACCTACCTGTATGGGCACTTCAAAGTACTTGACGAGTGTGGGTGTGGGCGGAGTGACGGCCATGGCGCTGGCGAGTGGGGGCGGGAGGGACTTGACGGACGCTGGCGACGACACAAAGACCGGCTTGGGCAAGTCACCCTGGTTGGCGTTGAGCAGGCTCTTCAGAGTGGTGCCGTTGTCTACCGGCTCATACAGAGATATCTGCACACACACAACACACAACACGCAATGAGGCGAGAAATCTCCCCCATGTTTGCGTGTGTGGGGTCACCTTCGGCCCGGGGATCTGTCTGGTGGTGACCACGTGCATCAAGGCCGAGTCGGTGATGGCCTTGCCCTCGTTATCCCATATGGTCAGCATCGCAATGTGGCTGCCCAGCCCCAACGTCACATTGACATTGCTGCCGTCCCTCTCCCCGCTCGCCCACACCTTCACCGGCGGCTGTGTTTGGTCGGCAGCGAGGTTGGGGTGCTGGTGCACGCGCCACTGGTACTTGGTCACGCGAAAGCGGGCGTTGCTGTCCTGCTCGTGCGTGTGTGACCGCTCGGCCTTGAGCTCGACCGTCTTGGTGGGCGTCTTGCCGTTGGGGTCGTCCGGCAGCACTGTCACCTGCGGCACGTCGATGACGGGATGAAGGTGCACGTGGTCCAACACGGTGCCCGAGAAGCAGCCGATGGCGGCGGAGGAGGCCCTGCCGATGACGGCCAGGCACCCCTTGTGGGTGCCCTTGGTCGGCCCGCCGAAGAAGACACGCACTGGCGTCTTCCCTACCCCCAGGTGCAGGCCGTCTGCATGACCCACACCATCACTCGCGTCGACATCCATGGGTGACACTGAGGGAAAGGACACCTAAATGCACGCAGGCAGTATGGATGGGAGAGGGTGAGAAGGGTCAGTCAGTAAAGAGCCACATATATGTTCGTACGTCGCTCGCCCAGCCCACCTTGAAGACATCCGAGTCGCCCCAGAAGACGACATTTGCCGTCTCGCCCTTGTTCTTGCCCTCAGCAGTGGTATTCTCCGTCGCCTCGACGTCGATGTCCAGGATGCTCTCAATGCCGTGGCCGTGGGAGAAGTCCTCGCCCGGCAGCGTGAAGCCCACAAAGGTGCTGGCCGGCACAGACACGTCAAACGCCATTTTGTCGCCCGCCGCTCGCGTGTCGGCCAGCAATGGCACCTGCACCACTGTCCGCCCGTCAGTCTGCCGCTCCTCGTCGGCATAGAAGGATGACACGCTGCCCTCCGACGGGTAAGCCGTCCCCACCAGTGCAGCCACAGCCGTGAAGCCAACAGAACGGGCAGATTTCTGTGGTTTCCACATGGTCACGTGCAGCGTCTGTGGCGCGTTTGGCTGCAGCAGGAGGGCGGCGGGCAGCTGTGCACCACGCCCCGCGTCATCGGGGCTGAGCTCCACTGCAAAGAGGCCCTTGTCCTTGCCCTCCAGAGTGACGTAGATGGGCAGCGGGACGCTCTCCTTATTCTCAATGGTCACCTGCTGCCTCCGCCACTCTCTCCCGGCCTCCTCGACGTCGCCATTGGTCGGCCGGAAGCGCAGAAAGGGCGTCGACTCGATGTGCACCAGCCTGTCGGGCGCCATCTCCACTCGCATCACGTTGGCCTTCTCTTCCTCCCCCTGTGTGTCAGCGAGTCGCCGGGCCCGCCGCCTTCTCGGTGGGTGGCCGCCGTAAGTGTGTCGGGGTGGATGGAGCCCCGCTGCCGACGCCTGGTGGCTTGTGGCGTCGAGAGAGAGGGGCCTGCCGCTGACTGTCGGTGCCGCAGGGGCAGAGAGCAAGCTTGTGCAGATGGCGACCAGACAGGGAAGGCCGCCGAGGAAGGGGCGCCGAGGAAGGGGCGCAGCCGCCATGGCTGCTCTCGATGAAGGCTTTGCCATGCGCCGACCAACCGGCCTCTGCGGACCTCTGCGGACTGTACTATTATTTTTACCACACTGGAGTTTTACAGTGAGCTCGCAAAAACCTCACAGTTTTTTCCGAGTCCACCGCGGGACATCCTTCCTGTTCTTCGTCAAGATGGGCGAGTCCCACAGCGTTCTCGCGGACAGGGTCAATGCGG